CAAAATTAGAAAATGACTGCTATTTTTCATTAACAAAAAAGTTCAGGCTGTAGGCCAGACCACAATGCTACAATGTTTAAAAACTAATGGAGACTAAGCATGGCATCCATTGTACAAAGATTAACTTCGATTCTGTCTGTGGCAGGAGAAATAGGGAGTAGCTTGGCTTGTTACGGAATGAACAGTTTACTTGGTTCACTCTTGCACTCGTAGAAATACTGTTTGAAATACTTCATTTGTCATTTCTAATAAACTGATTATTTATTCTTAGTCTAGACAGTACAGGAAAATTTATGTGACGAACGCTAAGTGTGTTAAAGTGAAATTTTAAGACCAAAAGGATATGAGTGCACTCAATTACAATAATATGAGATGATAAAATATTTTCCTTTATTTTTTCTTGCCTTAATTCAATAATTTTCTATGAATATGTTGTATTCATTGTAGGCTTAATATAATAAGGCTAATATATCAGATTTTTCTTCATAGATGTATAAAACTCCAAAAACCTAAAGCCCATGAGCTTTTTTTTTGCTCTTTATTTCATTTTATTAATTTCCCTCTGATTTTATAAATAATAAATGTTCATTGTATAAAAGAAACACAGAAACATATAATGAAGAGTATTTCATCACCCAGAGATTACCAGTCAATATTTTAGTATGTTATATACGGTCTTTATTTAAACATTAGATTTTGCTGATCTGGAGAATTATTATACTTTTTTGTTAATACTATATTGTATGCCTTTCCTTATTTAATTAGTCTTCAAAATAAAGTGATTGCATGATATTCCATTATCATTATCACAAAAATAACAGCTACCATTTATATAGTGATGAGCCAAGCCTAAGCTCTTTTATTTATCTCATTTATCCTATTGTGTCTCCATTTTATATGTAAGAAATGTGAGGCTTTTGTGACTTACCAAGGTTCCTCAGTTAGTGAGAACAAAGTTGCAATTTGGATTCAAGTCCTTCTGTCCAGAAAGTTAATGCCCATGATCATTATATCTATTATCTTCAGTTATGGTACTCTAGATCATGATAATATATCATGATAATATATTATAAATTATTTACTTTTCTATCATGGGACATTTAGTTTATTTCCAATTATCCACATACTTAATGCCGCAGAAGTAAACATCTTTGCATGTGTGTGGAATCTTCTCACCATTATCTTACTTTCTTAGGATAATTTATTTTACCTGATTTGACTGGTAATATTGCATCAAAGTTCTATATGTTGATCCTTCTTCCTCTCAACTCTGACTTTCTGAACTTCTCATTCTCCGTGGGTTTCCCTCATGTCCTTGGTTCCTAGAAAATTTTCAATTGTCCACCTTTCCTATGGAAACATTCCTTAT